TCTGTAAAATGGGCATATACCATCCATGCCTTCCTCCCCCTGGGCTGTTGTGAAGACCAAAGGAGGCCATGCGAAGCACACACGCTCAGCACAGTGTCCAGGCCAGACAAACACTCATAAATGGCATCATCTCACCAATCCATCTTGGGTCGGGGCTGCAGGGTGTTCAAACAGGACGCTGCCCGTGGAGTCTGAGAAGCGGATTCGGGTTGGACGGTCCAGCCTGGGCATGGGGGTAAAAGGGGGGGAGCACGGACTCTGAGCCTGGGCCCTAGACAGCCCCTCCAGCCCCTCCCAGCTCCAGCGCCCAGCCCGCTCTCCCTCCCTCCCTCCCTCCGGGCGCGTCCTCACCGCCGGTAGGAGATGGAGAAGCGCAGACTGGAGCGCAGCAGCATCACTCGGGCCCTTGCCACGGCCTGCGACCTCGGCCCCGTCAGCAGCGCCACGAAGTCTGGGAGAGAAGGACGATGATGTCCGAATGTCTTCACCCCGCTGTGCCGGCCGCGCCAAAACCCAAAACCGCCGCCGGGGCCCCTGCCTACCCGTGTGGCCATCCCCACGCGCCCGGTCCTCGGCGCCCGGCTCCCCGCGGTCGCTGTAGCTGCGGTGCTCTGGGTCCCGCGGGTACTCGAAGGCCAGGCCGGGGGGCTGCCTCTCGGGACCGCTGCGCTCTGCGAGGAGGGGCGCGCAGTCAGCGGGGCCCTGGAAGGAGGGGCTCCGGACCCAGAGCCCCGCCGGCCGCCCTCCCCTGGCCCCTCAGTGCGCTTACCCGGGGGACAGGTCTTACCCCGGGGGGCAGTCTTACCCGGCGGGCAGGTCTGGCAGCAGTGGCCGGGCAGCTGGCGCGGCTGCCCGCAGCTCAGGGCCGGGCACTCGGGCTTAATGTTCTTGCAGCTGACCTTGCCCGGGCCCCTCCCGCGGCGGCCCCACGGCGGCTGCTCGCGGAAAAGACGGAACCACTGAGTGGGTGCAAGGCGCCGACCCCAAGACCCAAGGAGGGGGTGTCCCAGACCACGGGAGCGAGGCAGGCACTGCGCCTTACAAGGGGCGGATCCTGGACAAGTTACCCACTCTCTCTGGACCTCGGGGTCCCCCTCTGACAGTGGGGACACTAACAGCATCTCCCGAGGGGGCTGAGCTGGGAACTAATGGGTGAGAGACGGAGGAGAGGCGCTGGCCAAACAGCCTGACACATAGCGGGCGGTCAGTCCACACCTGAGCCTGGAAGGGGGCGCTTCCTCCCCCAGCTGGGAAAGGATCACAAATATCTGCAGGCTGGCTTCTTTCTGCTCGCCCTCCCCGCGTCCACTCCGGGACACCCCGGGACCCCAGGGCGGCCCCCCACTCCCTGCCCGCGAGAGTCCGGCCGGGGCCGTCGGGGGCGCTCACCGTCTCGCAGGCGCACAGCACGCAGCGCATCACCCCGAAGGGCTCCCCCAGGTCCGGGTGCCACGTCTCGTCCAAGGCATAGACCTTCCCGCCGAAGGAGCAGCCTGCGGGGACCCGGCTGGCTGGCGGCCGCTGTCCCGCTCCCGCCGGTGCCCGCCCCGGGCGCTGCCAGCGGCCCCCTGGGTGCCCGGCCCCTCCCGGCCCCCCGCCCGCGCCGCGCCACCTGCGCCCGCGCCCCCTCGGGGCGGGCACGGACCTCCCTCCCGCACCTCCCCGGGGCGCCCGCCTACCTGCCGCCCCCCGGATGGGCAGCGGCTCCTTCTCGGGCCGGATGGGCAGCGCGGGCGGCTCGGGGCCGGCGCCGCGGGCCGGCCGGGGACCGAGCAGCAGGAGCCCGAGGAGCAGCAGCGGGGCTGGCGGGGCCGGGAGGCTCGGCATGACGCGGACCGGACAGCTGGGGAGGCGGGCGGAGGAGGGGGCAGGAGAGGGAGGAGGGAGGAGGGCGCGGGAGGAGGGCCGGGCCGGGGGCGGTGCGGCGGCGGGGCCGGGGCTGGGGCCCGGGCGGTGCGCGGGGCTCGTCGGGCGGGCGGGCGGCCGCGGAGCCGGCGCGGGGCCAGGCGAGGGAGAGGCCGGGAGCGCCCCGGCGGTCCGCTGCTCTGGTGCCCCGGGCGCCGCGCGGGCCCGTTTTATGCCCCGGGCTCCGCACCCCGGCCGGGGGCCTCCTCCTCTGCAAACGGGGCGGCGGCGGCGGTGGCTCGGCGAGGGGCCGGGCTGAGCCCGGGGGGTCCGGCCCAGCCGCCGCGGCCCGGATCGCGAGTGGGGGAGGGGAGGGAGGGGCTGGGACCGGGCAGGGGAGGAGGGAGGGGCTGGAGGGCCTGGGGGAGCGGAGGGGGAGGGGAGGGGAGGGACCAGGGGGCGCGAAGAGGGGAGGAGAGGCAGGTCTGGAGGGCCCCCCCAAACCCTCCCTCCACTGCCGGTGGCCCCAGGGTAGCTGGACCAAGCAGGAGGTGCGTGTCCCGCCCAGGATGAGAACCCCAGGCCAGGGAGGGGCAGAGGCTAGGCCTGAGGCCTGGGCCGGCCACTGTGCTGGATTTCGGCTCCAGGGAAGGATGAAAACTTGTCTTTACGGGTGACAACGCCAGGGAGAGGCCTGTCAACCCATGGTCCCCCTGACTCTGGGCTCACAGCACCTCTCAGACCCCATCCACCCACTTTCCCTGCCTAGCCTGGGTCCCCACCTCTGGTCTGAGGTCTCTCCTCATTCCACTGTTCCCCAGGACAGGAACTTAGCCAGAAACAGACTGTCCTTTCCGCCTGTGGTCAGTTCCCTCCCTACCCTGTAACCTGTCCTCAAGATCTTCTAGCCACCATCGTCCCCACCTAGCATGCTTTCTCACCTCTTCCTTCACCGCGGGGACCCTCAGCCTCCTCACTCACCTCAAACTCCTGTCTTGGTTGGTTTTCCTGGTCATGACTGCCTCCCTGTCCCCTCCCACCCACCCCCCCACACCATCCCAACCATCCCGGCACCATCCTTCCTAATCTTGGGAGGCATCTCGTCTGGTTGAGATGGAGAATTCCGGGATCTAGGCCATACTCCTTAGCAGACAGCCTCATCCTGCCTGGGGAGGAGGAGAGGAGAGAGCCTGAAGAAGAACTGGGGGTGGGGTGGGGGGGTGGTTAGAGAGGGGATGGGAACAAGGTCAGGCCAGGAGGCCCTGAGGCCAGAGGCCAGAGGCTTGGGGAGCCTGGGGCTGAGAGGAAAGCAAAGGAACTAGAGGCAGGGCCAAAGGAAGAGGGGGGCTAGGCCAGCAGGAGGTATTTGGGGGGGAGAATAGCAGCTGTCTTTCCTAAGACTGGGACACATGGGCCTGGTTATTCCTCTTGTCACGTGTGGGATGGCAGGAGATGGAAGAGGAGCAAAGGAGTACACTGGCAGAGAGAAGTGGGCTTAGCTGTCCGAGCCAACGGGCCCAGCACACACCCCCTCACTGTGCGGTCCTTTCAAACGGTCCAAACCCTTTCCCCATAGCACTGACCTCTGACAGCGTCCTTCTCTAACACAGGCAATGCCCATGTTCCCACTCAGAAAGGGGGTCTAAGACCCTACTCCCTGGGGCTATGGGAGAGAGAAGCAGGAAGGGCAAGGAGCCTTATTGGGTTTCAGCAGCAGGTGTGGTATCTCCGGAAAAGAAATTTGGCCAGCCGGGAACTGAAAACAAAAATGTCCTGCTGGATTCCTCCAAAAAAATAAAAATAAAAAAATAAATAAAAAAACACACAACCTATTCCCCTCCCGTCTCCTCTCCAGCCAGGCCCCAGGTTGCACGTTTCCTGGGAAAAGGCCGGTCCTCGGGCGGTGTGTGTGGGTGGAGGATAGCAGTAGACCATGGTCCAGGCAGGGACTCCAGGTCCAGCGAGGGTGGGAGGAGAAGGCGTCACTTCCGGGGGCCCTCCGCAGTGTCTGCGGGCTCCCTGCTCTCTGATTGGGCAGAAGTGGCCCCGGCAGGCGTGTGACCCCACTGCTGGGAAGGGGCTAGGCCCCAACGCCACGAGCTTTCCTACCCATCTGCTCCCCAGAGCGCCTCCCGCTTTGCACCTGGGTCCGGGAGCCCTTCTCCGCCCGGTGAGTGGCAAGCAGGGCTTGCAGTTACGTGAGGGTAGGGAGGACAGGAAAGAGGAATGGGGCTCTCAGCTGGGGGAGGGGCGGGCACACTGGAACCTACAGGCACTGACCTTTGTCAGGAAGCCTGTGGCCTTCCCAGAATGGGAGGAGTAGGACAGAGCCGGGGTAGGGGGTGGGGTGCTGGGTTCGGAGGGACTGATCACAGACTTCGTAGAATACAGCACAGTCCTGGTGGGCACTAAGGAAAGGGGACATGGGCTGGGGGTGTTGGGGGATGAGAAAGGAAGTATATTATTAGGACTTGGGGAGCACAGTGCCAAGGTGGACACAGCTCCGATCTTCATTCTTACCCCGTCATTCCTAGTTAGCTTAAGGTTCTGAATCCAGGGGCTGGGAAGCTGGGTCAGGCAAGCCAGGGCGCAAGGAGAGAGGGTGATGGGAGGAGGGTTCCTGCATGTTGACAGACCTATAGGAAATCCCAATATTGAAACAGGTGCAGGCCTCTTTGCACAACTTGTGAAAGAAGGAGGAAGCCACGTGGGGGGTCCTGTGAAGGAACCGGAAGGGGTCTGGCGAGGGGGTAGGGGGGAAGGTACGGGCGATGACATATGGTGGGTGGCCGTGGCGAGGTATACCATGTAAGGAGGGCTTCATCTCACTCGGTGGGTATCCATTCCTGGATAACTTGCCTCAGGAAGGAAGGCTCGGGACTGTTAGCCTGCCTCCTTGCCTTGGAAAACCCAGTATTTCAGAATGTGGAGCACAAAGGAAAACTTTAAGAGGCTTTCTGTGTGGGAGTAAATAGGGAAAGGATGAGAGGTTCATTTCTCCCAGGCCACCTTCTCTTAATCTTTTAATCAATGACTTATAGTTAGTCCAATGTTTTGGGTTTTGTTGGTGTTGCTTATTTGTTTGTTTTTGCCTAATTCCACTTCCCTGCCCACTCCACAAGCTACCCCTGGATACATTGTATGTACGTACTTACGTATCTGCTAGTTCCCCATCCTGGCCTTCCGGTTTCCCCGTCTCTTCTTCAGGTTTGTGCCACAGTGCTCCATTCTCTAGCCCCATTCCAGATTTCATCCAACCAAGCAATCAAGGTGGCTCGGAATTTGAGGCCCATTAAGATGTGTGTTTGTGTACACATCCTGTCCTGCTGCTCTCGGCAGGAGGCAGCCAACTCGTGTCAGATTCCCTGAGAAACCCTGACAAAGAGAAGACAGCATATGCTACTACGATCACAAGAAAATGTGGGAGCGCTCAGAGCTTTAGCAGTCCTAGGCTGGTCAGCATCGCAAGCCCTCCCAGCATCTGCTCCCCGAGCCAGAGTCTCTTCCTTAAAACTTGAATAACTGTTCTTCATGCCCGTCACTTGCAGGATAGATTCCAGACCCTCTTCCTCAGCCCACCTGTGCCGCGCCCCACCCAACGCTGTGTGCTCCAGCCCACTCTGCCCAGAAGTGCAAGAGCCCAAGCCGCCTCCATGGCCCCAGGAAGGAGTCAGGGCAGAGGCCCCATACAGGGAGCCACTCCAACCAGACAGCCCGGCCAGAATGGAGCTGACTGGTAAGAACACACCTGAGGGGCTGACAGCCAAATCAGAGCACGGTAGGAAGGGAAAAGGAAAGGGAAAGGAGATATGCTGCAGTGGTGTGGGAGGGAGGCGGCTGGGAGAACCCAGTTTCTGAGAAATGAGGCATCTTTGGGTGGCAGATTCCGTGGGTTTCAGGGTCTGGGTCCTCAATGGGAATTCCTGGACCACCACCCACCAATGATTTCTTCCTTTTCCACCCCTTCCAACCTCGCCTCTCCTAATCTAAGAACTGCTCCTCGTGGTCATGCTTCTCCTAACCGCACGGCTGGCCCGGTCTAGCCCGGCTCCTCCTGCCTGTGACCCCCGACTGCTAAACAAACTGCTACGTGACTCTCATGTCCTTCAAGGCCGACTGGTAAGAACCCCCAAACACTGTCCCCTCTGTCCGTTTAACTGGTAAGATCCCCTCACTCCCTGATCCAATCACTGTTCTTCCAACATTGCCTTTGGTAAGACCGTGACCTTGACAAGGATTATGATTTGCAACCAAGCTCTCCTCTGAAAGCTAATCTGGACCTATTTACTCACGGAAGCATCTTGGTCATTAGGTTACCATGTCCTTTCTCTTCCCCTCTCCCGCCAATTTTTTCAACAGAGCCAGTGCCCAGACATCAGCCCTTTGTCCACACCTGTCCTGCTGCCTGCCGTGGACTTCACCCTGGGAGAATGGAAAACCCAGACGGTAAGAAAGCCACCCCTCCCCTGGGTTTCTCTAAGTCCTGTCTTCATCAGTTTCCTATTGCTTCCTGTGGGTTCTTTACAATTCCTGAGTTCTCTGAAAATATCTCATCTTCAGCTTGGCCGCTCTAACCCAGTCTATATTCTACTGTGATAATATCCTCTGGACAAGATGATGGCTTGCAGTCCCAGTGTGTTACATAGATTCAAAGCTGAACATCATGAAAAGCTGGGTAGAGGTCTCTCGTGAGCCACGCCTTTGACTTAGTCCAATTCAAGCTTCTTAAGCTGGCATGAATAAATAAGACTTATCTGTCATCCACAGATGACACAAAGCTGGGAGCCACCACAAAAATAACAAAAGACAGAATCAACGTTCAAATCACTGAAAGGCGAGGTTCAAAACGTGGTGGAATTTAACAGGGATATATAAAAATTTCTACATGTGTAAAGTACTTGAGTCAAGTCCTGTTCCAGCTTGCAGGCCACAATGCCCTGCTTCCCTCATATAAACTTCTGGCCCTAGAATTTACTATGAAAAAGATCTAGGAGGGTTGAGTTGACCCCAAACTTCACATGTAACAACATTATTGAGGCAGCTATTTAAAAAACCTAGTGGTTCTGGGTAGCTTTCAATGTTTAGCATCAATAATGTGGAAATAGCCCCATAAAATTCTGAGTGGACTGCACTTAAAAATACTGGACTAAGTACTGACACACACTAAGTTATTCAGAGGACTAGCATGTACCTAGGAGGAAGCAACTGAACAGTAAGAGTTCAGAAAACATGTTATATGATGAATGGTTTTTAAAAAAATAAAAAGCCTGTCTGATTAGCATAGACAAAGTGACAGTCTATGGTACAGCATGGGGAGCTTTCGTCGGAGGCTCAGGAAACCATTGGGAAGGAGCGCTCCCTGGTAGGTCAACTCTTCTATCCTCGGGAGCCCTGGAATCTCATTCTTCCCTCGGGCCTTCTAGGAGGCTGGACTAGGGGAGGGCAGCTCCTTGGGAGCCCTTAGTTCCAGCTCTGCCACGTACCAGCAAGCCCTTCCCTTCATCTTTATGCTCTTTACGATGGTCTCATCTCTACATTCCGTTAAAAAAGAATCACATGATCCTAAGATTTTTTGTAGCAGAAAGAGATGTGCAGCACTAGAACCAAGAGGTAAATGCCATCAAAGGGCAGACTTCAGAATAATGGAAGTAAGAAAGAAAGAAAAAGAGCATTTCTGACTGAGAGTAAGTGGAAGACCAGGCAGGGTTACCGGACACTGGAGTTATTCAAGCAGAGGCTGATGACCAATTGTCGGGAGACTGTGAAGGAATTCCTGTGCTGGGTGGGACCTTGGTCCTGTCCAATTCTCAGTGTCTATGATTCATCCTGCTGGCTACTCCTCCGAGCTTCCCGCCCGCTATTAGCATGCCCTCTGAAGCAGTGCGCTTCTCTCGTCCATCTCTGTCCCAGGAGCAGACCAAGGCACAGGACGTTCTGGGGGCGACGACCCTCCTGCTGGAGGGAGTGATGGCAGCACGGGGACAAGTGGAACCTACTTGCCTCTCATTCTTACTGGGGCAGCTTTCGGGACAAGTTCGCCTCCTCCTCGGGGCCCTGCAGGGCCTCCTTGGGACCCAGGTAAGTCCCCAGTCAAGGGAACTATAGAACATGTCCCTCTTTTCGGACTCAGTCTCCTTAGAAGGCCCGAGGGAAGAGGAATTCTAAGAATCTTGAGGTAGAAGAGATGACCTCCCAAGGAATGCTCCCTCCAAGCCGTAAAGCCTGGGCGCTGGCACCCTATCTTCCCACATAGACAAGGGAGGCATGAGATCTGGCCCAGGTCTCTGGCCTCAGGCCCATCCTCTGCCCTCAGCTTCCTCCACAGGGCAGAACCTCCGCTCACAGAGATCCCCGTGCCATCTTCCTGAGCTTCCAGCAACTGCTCCGAGGAAAGGTGCGTTTCCTGCTGCATGTGGTAGGGCCCACCCTCTGTGCCAAGCGGGCCCTACCCACCACCGCGCTCCCACACAGTACCTCTCTCCTCCTCACACTGAACAAGCTTCCAAACAGGACTTCTGGATTGCTGGAGACGAACTCCAGTGTCCTGGCCAAAACTACTGGCTCTGGACTTCTGAAGAGGCTGCAGGGAGTCGGAGCCAACGGGCCTGGTCTGCTGAACCAAACTTCCAGGTTCCTGGACCAAACCCCTGGACAACTGAACAGGACACACGGACCTTTGAATGGAACTCAGGGACTCCTTCCTGGACCCTCACCCAGGGCCCCAGGAGCCCTGAATATTCCTCCAGGAACTTTGGACATGGTCTCCCTGCCACCCAATCTCCAGCCTGGATATTCTCCCCTAACCCTTCCTGCCATTGGACAACATACAGTCTTCTCACCTTCACCCTCCGTGCCCACTACCCCCACAGCCCAGCTCCAACTCCCACTTCCTGACCCCTCTGCTGCCATGCCCGACCCCACCAGTCCTCTCCGAGCGGAGGTGCACCCTCACTTCCGGAATCTATCTCAGGAGGAGTAAGGTGCTCAGGCGCTGCCCACACCAGCAGTGTCTCCCATTGTGATTCTCTTACCCGGAGGAGAGGCCCCGGAGACAACTGCAGCTCCCCCAGATTTCCTGCTTTCCCTGGAGCCCACAGTCCTGGTGAAGGCAGACACATAGGAAGGAAAGGGGATCTTTTTTCTCTGTTTAAAACACCAGAAGCTATTTTTTTTAATGTTTTTATTGATTTCAGAGAAAGGAAGGGGGAGGGAGAGAAATATTGATGTGAGATACATCGATTGTTGCCTCCTGCATGCCCCCTCCTGGGAATGGAGCCTGCAACCCAACCTGGGCGTACGCCCTGACCATAATCGAACCAGCGGCCTCCTGGTGTATGGGATGACGCTCAACCAACTGAGCCACACTGGCAGGGCAGAAAAGCTATTTTTTTTAACCTATCAATAATATTCACCAGAGCAGCTAGTTATCGGTCTATTTTCTGTACAAATTTACAACTTACGGATTCTCTATATGCTTTTTCGTGTGATAATTCCTTTAAAGGCCTGGACTGGCCTGACCTCTGAACAGAGGTAGAGACTAATCTTCTGTCAGAAAACAGAAAAGTGAGCTTTAGTTTTCTGCTCAGAACTAAGGTTAGTCTCTTTACCATGACCCTTTACCTCATTCTCAATGGCACTCTGACCTCCTTTTCTTAGGAGATCCTTACCCCTGAGAAATGAATGAGACATTGTCTCCCACAAAGACTGTCTGAGCCTGTATCAATAAAGAATAAATTAAGCACCCAAAAGCTAACTGGAAAAAAAAAAAAAAAAGATATTCTTCTCAGAGGGCAATAGTTCTGCCCCTCTCTAACAAAATAAAGAAAAAATAAAGAAAAACTAACAGGAAGCCCAGGAGTGCCTCACACCTCCTGGGTGTGCAGACATTTCAGGCAAGAAAAGACCTGGAAGTGACAGCTGGTGTTTTAAACAGAGAAAAAAGATCCCCTTTCCTTCCTATGTGTCTGCCTTCACCAGGACTGTGGGCTCCAGGGAAAGCAGGAAATCTGGGGGAGCTGCAGGTAAGGATGTGCAGACATTTCAGGCAAGAAAAGACCTGGAAGTGACAGCTGAGCAAACAGCCGGCGCCTCGGCAGCTCAGCAGGAAGCTTCGCCAAGCTTGGGTCCTGCCTCCCCCCTGTGGAGGTCAGGGGGAAGTGCAGGAAGTGGCATGAGTCAGTCTCCTAGGGCTCACACAGCAGGAGACACAAGTTACAACTCAAAGTACAAGTTGAAGGCTCATTTCCCAGTACCCAGAGGTAAATAGTACCTAAAAAGCAGCTTTGTGTGACCACCATAAACTCTGTTAGGCGATCTCTAGAGGGGAAAAAAAAAAAAAAAAGCCAGGCGTATGAGGCTTTGCCCATAAATGCCATCTTGGTGCTAAGGGAGAGGAGGTTTATATTGCCCTGAACAAATCTCCACTGCAAAGGTCAATACCACCTCCAGAGGCTCCAGTAGGGAAAACTAATGGAAGTTCCTCCTCTTCCCTCAACACCAAAAGGTCCCTACTGAATATCTAACCCATTCCCAAATCATCTGTCTCCTCTTCCCTTCACACAAAACAAAACAAAAAACTTATGACAAGGAAGTTCCTATCCCTATTCAACTGTATGCCAGTTCTTTCTTCTGGCACCCAGAGCGGCTGGGACAGGAGAGGTACGTCTCCAGCGTAGGCAGAGGAGCCAGGAACCGAGTTCCAAACACTGCCAATGCCTAGGAGGCATGCTACAGACAGCAGGATGAAAGTCGGTGCCAGGTACCGTATAGCCTTCTTTAAGGCTCCGGGGACTCTCTCCTTTATAGATGAGGGAGCAGCCAGGCAAGTTCCCAAAGGTTTCACAGCCCGTCAGAAGAAAAAGACATACCCTAGGCCTGTGGTGGGCAAACTGCGGCTCGCGAGCCACATGCGGCTCTTTGGCCCCTTGAGTGCGGCTCTTCCACAAAATACCACGGCCTGGGCGAGTCTATTTTGAAGAAGTGGCGTTAGAAGAAGGTTAAGTGTAAAAAATGTGGCTCTCAAAGGAAATTTCAATGGTCGTACTGTTGATATTTGGCTCTGTGGACGAATGAGTTTGCCGACCACTGCCTTAGGCCAACTTAGTCTAAAGCTCATACTCTCCCCAGTGTGGTGCACTGTCCAACGTTATTCAGTGATTCTATTTATCAGGAAAAATTCCCAAGTCCTTTGGGAGTCAATACATCAACAGATAAAAGAGTTCTGAGTAGAAAGCCAAAGCTCTTGGTATGAGTGACCTGTTTAGACATCTCCAGGTGTCCCCCTTTCCCATTATGGACAGAACAGTTGCCATGGAGAAGGAATCAACAAATGCACAAAGCTCAAAACTGTTGTCCAAATCTGGTGTCAGTTTCTACGTGGGAAAGAATCAGCTCATCTACATTACAAATTCCAGGATGCAGTCAAGGGAAAATGGTAAGTGGAAATTTTAATTTACTACAGTACTATAGTAGAGTACATCTAATAATCAAATGAAACCCTTTATGGCACATGAAAGAGGCAGCACCCAGAACCAGGTATGTCAAAGGGACTAGAGACAAAGAATTAGGTGTTCTCAGCACAGTCAGGTGAGACAAAGATGGCAAAACTGCAAAAAAGTATGTAGCCAGAAAGTTCCAGACATCCAGTATTAGCATCTGACTTGCTCAGGGCAAATGTAAAAAACTCAAGGGCTTCTTCAATGTGAACTGATTGTCCCTATTGAATATCTAACCCATTCTTAAATCCGTCCCTTCTTCTCCTCACACAGAACAAAAACAAAAAAAACCTGTTACAACCAGAACATTCCTATCTTTTTCACCTGTATGCCAGTTCTCTTTCTTCTGCCGCCCAGAGCAGCTAGGACAGTCTGCTGTGCCACCCCAGAAACTACTATTGGTAATTAGGGTCTCCCACTCCAACCTAAATTCACCCTTCTCTACCTGTCCTCTACCCCAAAGCTGGACTCTATGGAAAGGCTGGAGGATCCCATAAAAACCCATCCCAGCCAAAACAGGTTTGGCTCAGTGGATAGAGTTTTGGCGTGGGGACTAAAGGGTCCCGGGTTCAATTCCGGTGAAGGACATGTACCTTGATTGCGGGCACATCCCCAGTAGGAGGTGTGCAAGAGGCAGCTGATCGGTGATTCTCTCTCATAGATGTTTCTAACTCTCTATCCCTCTCTCTTCCTCTCTGTAAAAAATCAATAAAATATTTTAAAAAAAAAAAACATCCCAACCCCACTGCGTCTCCAATTTCCCTCTCCACCCTCCCCACCCCATACTAAGGCGAAAGAAACACCTTCCCTTCCTCCCTGCAGGGACCACTCATTTTCAATCCATTTCCCTAAATACCCTAACACCTCATGTAAAGACCTGAAAATGATGGGGAAGGAGACTCCCCAGGCATCCCACCAGGGGACCAGCTCCCCTGGCAACCCGAGAAATCAAAAGAGACAACTGCTTAATACACACTCACAAATCTCTGGACAGTTACCCTGAACTTCCCAGGGGGAATCAGAGTCCCGTATGCTTTCTCGGGGACCTTGCATGCCAGGCTGAAGAGCCAGCTCCTCTGCTGGAGTCCTGGTAAGCATCACCATTTCCTCAACTGGCGCTTCCTCCACGTTTCAGGTGGCGACTGCAGTCGGGCTGCTGCACTGTCTCGGGTGCTGGCACTGGACTGCCAACCTCATTGGTATGGGTGCCCTGTCCGCTTCACTGATCTGTGCAGCAGCTCCCTGCTCAGTGTCACCGCTAAGAAACTTACCCTCCCTCCAGGTCACTGCCAGAATACAGAGCTGACAGCTAGCTCCTCCACTTGGTCCCATAACCACCAAACCCACTCTTCCTATTTTCTTCAGAGTTGTGTCCCATGCTTGTGTATAAAAGTCTCTACCCCAGGGAGGGGGGGGGGGGGGAAGCCTCTACCCAAAGCTTCCTTAAAAATGATGAACATTTCCAGTTACCCAAGTGATTCATTCAAGTCAACGTGATTTGACTTCTTAAGCGACTGAAAGTGTTAGAAGGACACAAGCAGGGCTCCTTGCCAATTCAAAATTCTATGCCAAATGGAGGTTATCTTCTGCGCCGGGGGTGCCCCAGGAGCCAAAACACCGTATCTTCTCTTGTGTAGAAAACCACACTGGAGGACAAATGTTGGGGATCGTCAGCCAGGAGACTGAGAAACCCTGAACCCAGATACCAAAAGGCTGAGACAGATCTTACATTGGATGATCGTCTGGCTATGGGCCAGAGACATAATATACCACAGGCAAACTAAAAATAAAAAATAAGTTATTTTAAGGTAAATGGGGGGAGGGGGGGGGGAATTAAGGGGAGGAAAAATCTGAAAAAGTAAAGTTTAATTAAAAAAAAATCATACACACAAAACAACTCTGGTTCATTTTAAACTCGCCTGCTGGGTCTTTCACAGGCAAGTTGGTTTCCCACTGAGTCCAGACCAGGGAGAGAAGCACCACAGTGGACAGAGGGCCAGCCCCTCCTGAACAGGACAGCAGCCACTGCAACTCAGACTTGAACAAACGTCCGTGACCTGAGTGTCTAAGCAGCAAGGTTGGCTTTCCGGTGGTTCAGAAGGCCAGTTTCTTCATCAGCAGATAAACTCTGGAATCCACTTCAAATCCATGCAGGTTGTTGGCATCACCCTGCAGCCTCATGAGCAGGCCCCCATAGGACACGTAGGCAGAGCTGAAACAGAAGGTCCAGTCCCATGAGGCTGAGATTCGGAGCAGCTGTTACTCAGCAGCTCTCCAGCCCAGCCTAAGAGAGAGAGGCACCTTTCTAATGTTTTGTCAGCAGGAACCAAAATTCAGACAAAAATGAATGCGCAGACATATGCAAGGCAGTGTTTTTTCTATTAGCAAAAGTGGAAAATACTACATGCCCAGAATAAAGGAAATGGTCAAATCAATTCAGATCTATCCATTTACCGGTACTAGAATGTTACATATACAGCTATTAAAATGTTTAGGAAAAGCTCTAAACGGCCATGGGAAAACATGTTTTACATAACATTAAGCAAAAAGAGTAGAAGAAAACATTGTAATAAACAACAAGATCTCAAAGAAAAAAAGCACAGAAGAAAAAAAAAATACCTAGATTATTCAAAAATGTTTATGTAAAAGGTTCCCTCTGGTTATGGAATTATAGATGACTTTTGTTCCTTCTTGACATTACTTTTCTGCTTTTCATATTTCTTACAAAGGGCACATATTGTTTTAATAAGATTTTAAAGAAAAAAATAGCGAGGCAGGGAAACCAAAGAACTAGGGGTTGGGTTGCAGTGTAGCAACATATACATATACATACATACATACAAACACACACACACACACACACACACAAGCACAAACACACCTAGCAGCCTAATTACTTAATGTTGCATTTATTTCCTAAGGAAGCAACCTTCCTTTGCACCGCACACAGCAAGGTTATCAGTGTCTCATTTGGACCACCAGGGCCGAGACCCTGACAACTGAAACTGTTCCCAGAAGTTTCTCTCTGGGACCTGCTTAGGTCTGAGCTACTTAGAGAGAGGGACCCAACACAGGAAGGATACGCAAGTCCCCAATTCTCAGAACAGGGCAGGGTGAAAGGGTTCTCACAAGACCAAGGAACTTACAGACGTGTTGCTGCTTCAGTAGACGTTTCGTCTCCCTCAATCCTGTACACTTTTCCATACATCACATACTCAAATTGGTCAGCCCTGTGGAACAATAGTGGCAGTTACTCTTAAAAGTAGTTAACAATGCCAGGCCAGCCGAGACCGGTTTGGCTCAGTGGATAGAGCGTCGGCCTGCAGACTGAAGGGTCGAGGATTCGATTCCGGTCAAGGGCATGTACCTTGGTTTCGGGCACATCCCCAGTGGGGGTGGTGCAAGAGGCAGCTGATCGATGATTCTCTCTCATCAATGTTTCTAACTCTTTATCCCTCTCTCTTCCTCTCTGTAAAAAATCAATAAAAATATATTTTAAAAAAAGAAAAAGAAAAAAACAATGCCAGGCCAGGGTTGCTCAGTGGCTGGACATCCAAGAGGTCACTGGTTTGATTCCTGGTGAGGGCACATGCCCAGTTGGGAGCTCAATCCCCAGTAGGGGGCGTGCAGGAGACAGCCAATAGAAGTTTCTCTCATTGATGTATCTATCTCTCCCTTCTCCCTCTCCCTGAAAGTCAATAAAAACATATTTTTTAAAGTAGTTAACAATAAGAGGTCCTTTAAAATTGGTAACTGCTAAGTGCCAGCATTATAGCAACAGGCACTTTCCAAATACAATGTTATTTAGTCTTCACAGCAAACCTGTGAACTAGATACAACTACCTGTCTTTCACTGACAAGAAAACTGAGGCTGAAAGAGGTTAAGGTTATTCAACAAATGAGATTTTAACTCAATGGGGCTCCAAACTCCCATCACACCAAACTTCCCCTCCAAGACTCAAGGCCCATACAGCCTAGGTCACTCAGTAGTCACTTCCTCCACCATCAAAAAGCTACAAAACACAAGCATGTAGCCAGAACCGGTTTGGCTCAGTGGATAGAGCGTCAGCCTGCAGACTGAAGGGTCCCAGGTTCGATTCCAGTCAAGGGCATGTACCTTGGTTGCGGTCACATTACCTGGGGGGAGGAGGGGAGGACCTGTGGGGGAGGGTGCAGGAGGAAGCTGATTGATGTTTCTCTTTCATCAATGTTTCTAACTTTCTATCCCTCTCCCTCCCTCTCTGCAAAAAATCAATAAAATATATTTAAAAAAAAAAAACACAAGCATGTAATAACTGCTCTGGATAAACACCTTGTTAATTCTTTTTCTTTTTTTTTTAAGATGTTTTCATTTATTTCAGAGACAGAAAGTAAGAGGGAGAGATAGAAACATCAATGATGAGAGAAAATCATTGATCAGCTACCTCCTGTATGTCCCACGCGGAGGATCAAGCTTGCAACCCAGGCATGTGCCCTGACCAGGAATCAAACCATGACTGCCTCGCTCATAGGTCGACACTCAACCACTGAGCCACACTGGCCAGGTACCTTGTTAATTCTTTTTTTTTTTTCTTCCTTTTTTTTTTTTTATTATACCTTGCAAATTCTTAAGTGCGGCAATTTCCTTAAGTTCCTCAGATTCTGCTGATAATCATTTATTCCACAACTTAATTAAATAAGGGTCTTTCTACACCACTTATCTACTTTATTCTCAGGCATATTTCAAGTGCTCCCTTCTTCACTCCCTCACCTGGAAGGTCTGTCATCTGTGGGGTTATATTCACCATCATCCAAGGTACCATCTTCATACAAGGTACTGGCTATGACCAACCGGAACTTGTCACCTGAAAGTAACGGCAATATCTGAGAGTGAAAACAGCCAGAATGGCAAAAAGTCTCCTGCTATTTTCTCTGTTCAATACTTACCCAAATCTACAGGGTAAATCTGAATGTTTACATCTAAGATAAGGTCCATCTTGAAAGATTCACTCTCACAATGCAGTCGGGACACTGGAGAGAAGTAGAGAAAGAGTGGCAGAGGGTAAGTGCCTGACCCAGGGTGACCCTGCAGACCCCACTTGGGGGGGCCGAGCACAATAGAAGTCTCAACCTAACCCAATTTGCATCCACTGGCTTCTCATCTGCTCTCAGAAGTGCAGACTCAATCAGAACCAGATATGAAAGAGGCAAAGTGGAGAAAATCCCAGGAAAAGAATCAAAAGTCCTCGGCAACAAAGAATATCCAGACTCGAGGCCTGCCTCGGTGATTAAGAAACAGCCTAACTTTGGGCAAAGGTTTTGTCTTTCTGTGTCAGGTGCTGTGTTGAGGAGATTATTAGGACATGTAAGAACCGGTATTTGTCCTGAAGAACATGTCAGTCTCCAAGCAAAGGGTGAGAAAACAGAAACAATTATTGATCAATGACAGGATAAAGAGCAACTCTTTATTATTCCAAGCAGTCAACTCTAACTCGGAGAGGGCTTCACACAAAGCTAAAGATTCTAAGGGCAATACAAGACTATAGGTGTGTGTGTGTGTGTGTGTGTGTGTGTGTGTGTGGCGGGGGCGACGGGGGCGGCAATAGTAAGACGTGTGCATATATAATATCTTTTTTTTTTAATATATTTTATTCATTTTGTACAGAGAGGAAGGGAGAGAGATAGAGAGTTAGAAACATCGATGAGAAAGAGTCATCGATCAGCTGCCTCTTGCACACCCCCTACTGGGGATATGCCCGCAACCAAGGTACATGCCCTTGACCGGAATCGAACCCGGGACCCTTCAGTCCCCAAGCTGACGCTCTATCCATTGAGCCAAACCGGTCTCGGCCATATATAATATCTTAATAAAAGATATCAGCCTGCGGACTGATGGGTCCCAGGTTCAATTCCGGCCAAGGGCACAAGCCTGGGTTGCGGGCTCCATCCCCAGTAGGGGGTGTGCAGGAGGCAGCCGATCAATGATTCTCTCTCATCATTGATGTTTCTCTCTCCTCCCTTTCTCTCTGAAATCAATAAAGGAATATATTTTTAAAATAATAATACAGATTCTGGAGTCGGATTACTTGCTGTGCAGCCTTGGGTGGGTTGCTTCTCGGAGAGAAATGGGTAAAGACAATAACTACCTCATGTAGACTCTTGAAAGAAATAAGACAAAGCATGTAAGCTGCCCAGGACAGCGCCTGGCAGAGTGGGCAGCGGCCGGAAAGATGCCCAGGAGTTGACTAGCACGAGAAAAGGCCCCCCAGGCACCGGGCACAGCCTGTGTGACCCCAAGGAGAGCGCGGTGTCTCCGCTCTTTCATCTATAAAATGCTTTCTGAGCGCGGTCTGTACATCAGGACCTGATGGTGGGCGCACGCCACGTGGGTTGGGGGGCCCGGGGGCGTGTCCCCAAGAACCAGATTAGTCCCTTACCCAAAACCGCCTCTCTATACCTCGCTTACCTCGGTCAAACTTCTTGCCCTCCGGGTCAATGTCTTTCACATCAAAAATATCCTCAAACAGAATGCCGGCCATGGCAGCAGGGCGATGAGAGGAGCACGGAGGGCGCTGACCGTGCAACCACTAGAGGAGTCCGCCCTACCCCCTCGCGCGGAAAAAACGAGCAGGAGAGTGGGGAAAGGACCGCCTCAACTGCACCATGAGGAAATGGAACTACGCCTGCGCGCAGACAGGCAGTAGCACGGCCACTTCCGTCGCCTAAGCTCTCGGGGCTCCCTAACTTCCGCCCCGAACTGCTGCTTCGGAGAGACTTCGGTGTGGAGGGCGGGCCTGTCAGGTCGATAAGCCCGCCCCAGGGCGGGATCACCATAGACAGACACCCCCACACACACCTCCCCCGGAGGTGGCGCGGTTTCTCGCTCTCTGCGGAGGCTCGACTGCGCCCTCTTCAGTATCCCTGTTGGGAAAACTGGAACGCAAGGGCCGCTACCCCAGCCAGAGACCTTGATCCTTGGCCCAGAGCAGCCCAGCCCAGCCCAGCCCTACCAGCACGCGTGCTCGCCGAGGGCACAGTCCGCGCCGAGAAAGGGCGGAGCAGAACCCCGCCCCCCGGAGCGCCGGCTCCGCAGGGCGCAGTCCCGAGCCCCTGCAGCTGGCACCCGAGGCCCTCCAGGCCGGCCTGGCCCAGCTCGGCCCTGCTAGATGTCACCCGAGCTGGGTCTTTTCAGTTTGGGAATTTGCCATGATGTCACTACGGGGAAGAGGAAAGCCTGCACTATCCCTTCCCCTGGTACCGCACCCTCCTCAGCATTGTCCTCTTGCCCTGAGCCCTGCTCTCTTCCCCCACACTGCCCCTGGAGCCTGGCATTGGCCCCATCACCCTGCCCTCCGGAGCACTGCCCCTTCAGCCTGGTACAGCCTGTTCCCTCTCCCCTGCCCTCTCCCCCCTGGACACTGTGCCCCTTCACCCTGGCTCTCTCCTCTCCTGCAGATACTCCTGCCTTACACGGACTGCCCCTTCCTGCAGGATGCTGGTTCCTCTCGCACTGCCCCCTTCCCTTCCCGGGCACTGTCCCCTCCTCCCAGCCAGCACCTCCACCTCCCCCATGTCCCTGCATCCTGTTGCCTGTTTCCCGGGCACGGGCCTCTCCCCGGCCCCTATCTCTGGCACGCACTCGCAGGCCATCCACCCTGTGTTCACCCCACCCTCTGCCTGCTCGATCCTTCTTCGAACCCTGATGGAGAACCAAGAGCCCACCAGGCCGTTTTCCCCCCTCGGCGGCGAGATGTCAGCAGCTACTCGGGTTTCTCCGTGGGCCCTGCCAGCAAGAAGCGACCTCTGTCCCTCCACGCCCGCCTCCAGGAGCGCCCTGTCCCGCACCCAGACCTCCCTTCCTCCGGCCTCACTCCCCACCCCCGCCGCCGCCCCCTCGGCCCAGCCCGCACACCCCTCAGTCCAGAGTGCTCCAGGTGCACCTCCCCGGGGAAGCCGCAAGAAAGGGGAGGGGGAGGGAAGGGATGAGAGCCCCAGGGCTCAACTCCGAGCATTGCACCCCTTTCCCCCATTCCTGGAGTTAGTGCTGCCCTCCGAGCCCCCAGGTTTGCTCCTCGCTCCAGGCGGAGCGGCGGCGGAGCTGAGCCGCTGCTGGTCCCTCGGAGAAGCAAGAGAGGGAACCGCTCCGGAGAGAGAGCTTGGCCCCGGTCCCGGCGGTCCGGCCCCGGTGCCGCCAGTCCCTGCCGCTCTGCTCGGGCACCGGGAGCCGCAGAGCCAGCCCTCCCCTCCACGTGCCGGCGGGCCCGCCCCCGCGCCGGCCCACCCCCGGCGCCCCTCCCGGCCCCCCGCCTCCGCGGAGAGGGGCGCGGGCTCGCGCGTCCCCAGCGCCCCCTACCGCCTCCCCTCCCCGCCCCGGAGGCGGCCCCGCCGCAGACCCCGGCCGGCGGGCCGGCCCCCGCCCATGGGCCGGCGGGCGGAGCGGCCCCGCGGGCACCGCCCTCGGCCCGCCCGCCGAGGAGAGGACGCGAGCGGGAGGCTCTGCACTCGGCCGCCCGGGCTGCGGGGACGGGACGGGTGTCGGCGGCGCGGGCGCTGCGGGCGGGGAGCCGAGTCCAGGCCGGAGCCCGAGCCGCGGCGGGAGGCCGGCGGGCCGCGCGGAGATGGCGGCCGGGGCGGCCGCGGCGGCGGCGGAGGGGATGGAGCCGCGGGCGCTGCAGTACGAGCAGACCCTGGTGAGTGCAGGAGGGAGCCGAGCCGCGCGCGGAGGGGTGCGCTCCGCGCCGCTGCTCCCGGCTCCCCTCCCAGGCGCGAGGACCGGGACCTCCCCCCCCGAGCCCCGCCCAGCCTGCTGAGCCGGGGAAACTGAGGCCCGGGGACCTGGGGGGGTTGGAGGGCTAAGGGACGGGCTGCAGGCAGGGTTCTGGCGGAGGCTGGGGCCTGCAGAGGACAAGATCAGGTGCTTGTCCGAGGTGTCCTTCCCCTCACCTCTCCCCGCCAGCACACCACGTCCTCTCTGCTCCTCCCCCTGACCACCTGGACCCGAGTCTCAGCACCCACTCCCCCTCCCCAGCACCGCTCACACCCTCCGGCCGGTGGAACTTTATCTAAGAACACCTCCATCTCCACCACCAAGACATTCACTCTGACCCCAGGACGTGCGTTTTACTGTGCTAGACAAGAGTGTGTGGAAAGATAGTCAAACCCAGCCCCCAATAGTGGCAGGAACCCCTGCGTCTATTCTTTGGGAGGGTGGCCTGCTGCACTGGGGGGACAGGAACTTAAGGGGGTACGGGTCAAGCAGGAATGGGTGTGGGATTTGGGACTTTTGTCCATGAGTATCCAGCCCCTGCCCACCCCAGGGGTGTCCCTTGACCTCATTAGAAGCAGGGATCCTGGGGTTCTGAGCTGACTTGTGGCCACCACTGTAACTTAGGGTTTGAGATGCCTTTTGCCCTTCCTTGTGTCCCTGCGGTAGGGGGGCCCAAACTCTAGGGAAGGGCTCCCTCGTAAACAGCCGGTCCTGGAATTTGCCCAGGAAGGAGGCAGGGAGGGAACCTCTGCAGGAGGAAGGAGCCCCTGGCTGTAATTGAGGCTGGGAGGTGCCGGGTTGAGAGAGGGAATGACCGGATGGAACAGGATGACAGGGAGAGGTGACAGGGGTGGGGGTGGAGCGAGGGTGTAGGGCTGGCTGAGCCTTCACGTAGGATGGGAGGTGACTGTCCGCCTGCACCAGCCAAGAATGGGGCATTGGTCTAGGAAGCCAGGCACCTGGCCCTGAAACCGTGTCTATCAGTTGCACCAGCCCCAGCCCCATCTCCTTCGCCCTGTCTTTATCTCTGGTATGAGTTCCCAGGGTCAAGCTCTCTGCTCCAGCCTCTCCCCCTCCTCCTCCTGTCGATCCCTTTGTCTTTTTCTCACAGGCTCACCTCCCACTCTGACATTGGGTCGGCCTGTGTATGCTCTACTTTGTTTCTCTCCCTTCCTCCTCCCTTCTCCTCCTTCCTCTTCCCCGCTCCTTCCCCAAGTCCTCTCTTCCCTCCCCACCTTTCCTCTCTCTGGTCTCTCTCCTCCCTTTTCTTGCTCTCTATCTTGTTCACTCTTTCTCTCTCTCTCTCTCTCTCTCTCTCTCTCTCTCTTCCCTCCCTCACCACTACCACCCCCCAGTCCCAACAGGAGTCCTTTGTGTCTCGAAGCTCTGCGGGTGGCAGCCGGAATCTACTCCTCCCCACCCCTCAACACATGCCCAGCTTGGCAGGTCTAGCCATGGCTTGGACACTCTCCGGTCCCATCGCCCCAGCATCACAGCCCAGCCACCAGCTTCTGCTGTCCCCCAGCCCACCACGGGACTCAGGGCAGCTCCCGTGTGGGCTGAGGCCACCATGTACTCCCCACCCACCCGAGAGACTTTCCACTCCCGGCTGGGCTGGGGGATGGAGAATAGGGACAAGGGGATTAGGGTGGGAGGAAGGGATACAGCTGACTCGGTCACAGGCCAGAGGCCCAGCAGGAACGTGATAAGGATTGAGGCCCCGCCTGTTCCTAGGCCCAACTCGACTGCCCCCAGCTCCTTGAGGACCTCATTGTTACCCCGTATGCCCTTGGCCATCCCTTATTCCCTGACCTTCCCTCCTCCCGCTTTCAGAGCTGTAGGTTCTCCCAGCTCTCCTCTGGGGCTTCCCTCCCACTCCTCCTCAGCACCACCCTCCCCCCCCCCCCCCCCCCCGGGCGGCGCTGAGAGAAGAGGACTGATTATTCTGCCACCCCCAGCGCCGCCGTGTCCCTGCACCTTGGCGGTCCCCATCCATCCGGCAGGACAGCTCCCGCAGTCTGCAATGTGCATTGTCCTCACACCCCAAGCCAAAGCGGGACCTGTGGGTTCAGGAGGGGATATATATATACACACACACACACACACACACATAAACTGGGGGCGGGGAGAAGGGGAGAAGAGACCCCAGGGCCCTCCCTGGGCCCCCTCTCAGCCACGCAGAGCTGCTCACCCTGTCTTCCCCGTTGCTCAGATGTATGGCCGCTACACTCAGGACCTTGGGGCTTTTGCCAAAGAGGAGGCCGCCCGGATCCGCCTGGCAGGGCCCGAGCCCTGGAGGAGCCCGCTGTCCCCTCCGGCTCCCCTCGAGCTCCTCGAATACGGACAGAGCCGCTGCGCCCGGTGCCGCAGTGAGAACTGGGCTGGGCAGGGGATCTGGCTGTGCTGTCCTGGGGGGGGGGGGGGGGGGCAGAGGCCGTTCGTTAGCGCTGCCCCTCGGGGGTTGGGGGAGGCAGGGTAGGAGCATTTTGGTGCCAGCCCCGCCCCCGCTGTTTCCTTCCCGCTCCCAGTCTGTTCCGTCCGCTGCCATAAGTTCCTGGTATCCAGGGTTGGTGAAGACTGGATCTTCCTGGTCCTGCTGGGGCTCGTCATGGCGCTGGTCAGCTGGGCCATGGACTATGCCATCGCCGCCTGTCTGCAGGGTGAGGACAAGGGCTGGCCGGCGAGGGCTGGGGAACGCCAGGCTGCTTCCTCCATGCCAAACTCGTCCGAGTATCTTGGCTATTTGGCCGCCGGAGTGCCTATCTGCAGACACGATCGCTGCCTCCTCCCATCTTCTCGCCTCTCCTCTCCCACTGCCCCTCTTCCCTGCAGTGATCTCTCCCCCACGGAAGGCCTGGACGACCCCCTCCCTGCCCCTGTGCCTGGGCTCCGTATGGCCTCCCCTGGGACAGCCTCTCCTATCACTGTGGCCCAGCGGCCAGGCCTGGCGGGGACTGGGTGTGCCCCGCAAGGGTCCACAGCGCCTCCTCTCCCCACAGCTCAGCAGTGGATGTCACGAGGCTTGCACACCAGCCTCTTGCTCCAGTACCTGGCCTGGGTCACCTATCCTGTCGTCCTCATCA